CAGTCGGAGGGCTGATGCCGAGGGAGCGGGTGCTGTCGGAGGGTCGGCACCGAGGGAGTGGGCGCTGTCAGCCCCACTGTCATGACTCCACGTTTCTGTTCAAAATGTCTGCAAGGCCCTTCATTGACGCATGAAGGAAGTGGGCACCGAGCTAACTGGGAGGGGAAGAGGGGGCAGCAGATTAGGAGTTGGGGGGGGGGGGGGGGGAATTGGTTTGACCAAAATGTTGGTCAACGGAAAGATCAGAGTTTGAAACGGGGCCTAAGTGGGTTGAGGGGGACGGTGGGGCCTACAAATGAGGGATGTGAAGGGAGGCGATACGGAGTCAGAGGAACGAAGATCTTGGTGACTGAGGAGGGTCTGGAAATCGCAGGTCGGCGGGGAGGGTCAGTGCTGGTCCACAGATGGGCAGGTTAGGGAGGATTCACCATGGGAAATGCAGGGTAGAGGGGTTGGCTGCTGTTCCGGGGGGGGTCGGCGTGGACCCGATGGGCCGAACGGCGTGCTTCCACATTGTAGGGATTCAGTGAGGGAAAGAGCAGGGACGGATTTGAAAATGAGAAGTTGAAATTCGAAGTATTTGACAGGTTGGGTGTGTGGGAACGTGAGTACAGAGCCGGGGGTGGGCGTGGGAGGAGCAGAGATCCCAATGACAGTTGGCGTTGTGTGAAGCATTAATTGGTCCTAGTCAGTGGTGGGCAGTTTACGATAAAATTGGTTCCATCTTGTAGCCTCTGAGGCCTCAATATCAAGCGAGCCTTGCCCTGCGCAGACATTGACTCATTTCTCTTCGATGCAAAATACATGTTGTTCACGTAATTTTCATTCTCTCTCTCACAGGGAACGTTACTTAGGGACGCTGCTTCAAGTGGAAATGATGCTGAAGGTTTGGTTCCCTCACGTCACCACGGCGACGCCAGGCGCTGAAGGCTCCGGGCCTACAGGAAGTGAATGCAACACAAGAAAGGTACTTGACCCTGATGGGTCAGGACCCTGGCAGCGAAGTTGCGAGGTCTGTTCAGGGCGCCCCGTCTGGGGCCTAAACACTGATTTATGTGACTGGGCCTCGTTTGGAAGCGGGAAATCGCGCAGGCGTGCTGCCCGTGGTGGACATCTTTGGATGCCCTGGGCCGTTCGGACCAGGGAGGGCCTGAGGTTGACCACGAGGCCACTGCAGTCAAATAGCTCGCCAACAGCGAGCTTCACGTGGGGGCAGATTGAACTTGGTTTCAATTCAGTGAACCGTAAAGTTCTCGTGACGAGAATTAGCCAGATTGTGTGCTGTGAAGCTCAGGAGGAGGCCATTCAGCCCATCTAATTAATACCCCTCCCTACTCAATTTTCCTGAATCTCTCTACTTCCTAGAATTTTTCCAATCCCCCTGCTTTTGAAAGTTCATATTGAATCTTCTCCCTTCCAGGCAGTGTATTCTGGATCACAACAGCCTCGAGAAAACAAAGGCTTTCCATCTCTTCTATCCATGTCTTGTTGGGGACTGACCCTCCAGCTTTCCTTCACAAACTCGATCAAAACCCCTTTGTGATTTTGAATGCCTCAGTCCAATCTCTCCCCGAACCTTACACATAGTCCAAATATCGATTTCCTTTTATGTAGGTGTTCTTGCGAATTGTCCTGTTGGGCACAAATCTTCCACAAAACGGGTCTTTCTTTCTCTCTTTCATATAGTATTCATGGACATTCTAGTGTCCATAACTGACTCCCCAAAACAGGCATAGATAAGGTGACTAGCCAAGGGTCTTTTCCCTAGGATGAAAGAGTTTAAAACTACCAGGTATATTTATAAGGTGACAGGAGAAAGATCTAAACAGGACATGAGAGGCAACTTTATGACACAAAGTGGTTCGTGTGTGGAATGAACTTTCCTGAGGAAGCAGTGGATGTGGATACAATTGCAACGTTTAAAAGACATTAAGTACGTGACTAGGAAAGGTGTGGAGGGAAACGGCCCAGGAGCAGACAGGAGGGACTAGTTTAGTTTGGAAACTTGGTCAGCATGGACTAGGTGGACTGAAGAGTCTGTTTCCATGCTGTGTGACTGTATAAATGTTCCAGTTCCTGACGATCGTCAGAAGGAATGAAATTGAATGGGGAACGCTGACTGATGACTGCATGACTTTCGGCACCGTTCGCAACTCCTCAGATACTTGAGCAGTCCATGTCAAAAAGCAGCGAGACCTGGACAATACCCTGACAAGGGGCAAATACCAGTTTTGCAACTTATTCAGGTACATAATTCTTCAAAGTTTGCATCACGGGTAGACAGGGCGGTTAGGAAGGCATTTAGCACGCTTGCCTTCATTGCTCAGACCTTTGAGTGTAGTAGTGGGGACGTCATGTTGAGGTTGTACAGGATATTGGTGAGGTCTCTTCTGGAGCACTGTGTCCAGTTCCGGTCTCCTTGTTATAGGAAGGATATCATTAAGCTGGAGAGGGTGCAGAAGAGATTTACCAGGATGTTGCCTAGAATGGAGAGTTTGAGTTATAAGGAGAGGCTGGACAGGCTGAGATTTTTTTCCCTGGAGCGTAGGACGTTGAGGGGTATATAAAATCATAAGGGGTATAGATAAAGTGAATGGCAGGTGTCTTTTCCCTAGGGCGAGGGCTTCCAAGAGCAGGGGGCATATTTTTAAGGTGAGAGGAGAAAGATGTAAAAAAGACATGAGGGGCAACTTTTTGACACAGAGGGTGGTTCTTGTGTGGAATGAACTTCCAGAGGAAGTAGTGGATGTGGGTACAGTTATGTTTAAAAGACATTTGGATAAGTACATGAATAGGAAATGTTTGGAGGGATATGGGCCAGGAGCAGGCAAGTGGGACTAGTTTAGTTTGGGATTATGGTCAACATGGGCTGGTTGGACCGAAGGGTCTGTTTCCGTGCTGTATGACTGTATCTAAGTTCCAGACAATGACGATCTCCAACAAGGGAGAATCTAGCTATTGTCCCTTGGCATTCAATGGTGTTACCATCACTGAATTCCCTCCCCACTATCAACATCCTGGGGGTTATCATTGACCAGAAACTGAACTGGACCAGCCATATAAATACAGGGGCTACAAGAGCAGGTCAGAGGCTGGGAATCCTGCAGCGAGTAACTCCCCTCCTGACTCCCCCCAAAACCTGTCCCACCATTGACAAGGCACAAGTCAGGAGTGTGATGGAATACTCCCCACTTGCCCTAGATGGGGGCAGCTCCGACAACACTCGAGAAGCTCCACACCATCCAGGGACAAAGCAGCCCCCTCTTGGATTGGCACCACATCCACTCCCTCCGCCACCAATGCTCAGTCGCAGCAGTGTGTACCGTCTACAAGATGCACTGCAGAAATTCACTAAAAATCCTTAGACATCACCTTCCAAAACCCATGACTGCTTCCATCTAGAAGGACAAAGGCAGCTGATACATGGGAACACCAACCCCCTGTAAGTTCCCCTCCATGCCCCTGACACACACACACACCGTCCCAACTTGGAGATATATCAACCATGCCTTTAGGATCAAAACCCTGGAACTCCCTGCCTACCGGCACTGTGTCCCCACACCATGCATGATGGGATTGCAGTGGTTCAAGATGGTGGCTCACTCCTGCCTTCTCAAGGGGCAACTAGAGATGGGCAATAAATGTTGACCCAACAAACGTTTTGGGGAAAAAAAAAGGCCTAAGTGATCCTCTCAGTTCAAGGGGATGGCAAACAAATAATAGTCTTGCCAGAGATGGCCATAACTCATGATGGAATGTTTTTCTCAAAAGTGGTCAGGGGTGGGGGTTCAAGGGGTAATTGGAATCACATAGCCTGCATCTCATGAAATTAAAGAGAGGTAGGGAGCCACAGGACTGAGGGATAGTTGTCATTGTCATAGGGTCACACAGTTTGGAAACAGACCCTTCAGTCCCATCAGTCCCATCAGTCCATGTGAACATAATCCCAAACTAAACTAGTCCCACCTGCCTGCTCCTGGCCCTATTCCTCCAAGCCTTTCCGATTCACGTACTTATCCAAATTTCTTTGAAATGCTATAACTGTACCCACATCCACCACTTCCTCAGGACGTTCATTCCATCTGCAGAGCGCCCTCTGTGTAAAAAATTTGCCCCTCGTGTCTTTTTTAAATCTCTCTCCTTTCACCTATAATATGTGCCCCCTAGTCTTGAAATCCACCAACCTAGGGAAAAGACACTCACATTAAATCTATCTGTATCACTTGTGATTTTATAAATCTCTGTAAGGTCACTTCTCAACCTCCTACGCTCCAGTTTCAAAAAGTCCCAGTCAATCGAGCTTTCCTTTATAACTCAAGCCCTCCACATTATTTATACCCCTCATGATTTTCTAAACCTCCGCAAGGACACCCCTCAACCTCCTATGCTCCAGGGAAAAAAGTCCCAGCCTATCCAGCCTCTCCTTATAACTCAAACTCTCCATTCCCGGCAACGTCCTGGTAAATCTCTTCTGAGCCCTCTCCAGCTTAATGATATCCTTCCTGTAACTGGGCGTCCAAAGCTGGACACAGTGACTGTCACCCAGAGTAATTGTGGTTTGTCTTCTCTCCCCACCAGCACATACGGACCGGGTCTTCGGAGACCAGTTCCTCGTGGGAATCGCTGTCCCCTTCATCGTTCCGAAGACCATCCTTCAGCGACGGTGCCCCCCAGGAGTCAGCAGACCGCACCCCTCCCTCCAGGAGCTGGGAGGAGAGGTCAGAGCTCAGGGGAGGCTCGTGGGAAAGGGTGGCTTGGCGTGACGGCCCACTGGAGCATCCCCCGACCCTGCGGTGCCTCGCTTTGGTCATGCAGGACGGCTCGGACCTCTCCTCCTCCACAACTACTACTACTACCGCCCACCCCGAAGCCGTCTGGCCAGTCCAAGGGGCCTGGGCTTCCATCGTCAAGAGTTCGGCTTGCCAGAGGCATCCAGGCAGGAGCAGCAGTGCCCCACCTTGCATTCCCGCTGCCCGCAGCTCCACCACATCCTGGCCACTCGTCCTGTCATGCGGTTCCGTCGTGCTGTTGGATCTGCCAGTGGATTATGGGAGACAGAGCCAGAAGTAGGCCCAAACTCAGCCAGCTCGGGCCTCCTCCCACGGATTTCATTTTTTTTTTTGGAGAGGAAGGGGAATACCTGAAAGACTTGCGTTTTTATAGTACCTTTAGTCACCTCAGGATCTCCCAGTCAATGAAGTTTGTGTAATCACTGTAGGAAAAGGGACTGATTGACACACAGCAAACTCCCACGTAACAATGGAGAATTGACTTGGTGTTGGTTGAAGCATTAATATCGGACACTGGGGAAGGAGAACTCCTCCCACATACAGGTCTTCCTCAAAAAGTGGCAGCAGGATTTTTTTTTTATGGCCACATGAGAGGATGGATGGAGACTTAGTTTATTGGCGCTCCCTCAGCGCCGACCCTCCGACGGTGCGGCGCTCCCTCGGCGCTGACCCTCCGATGGTGCGGCGCTCCCTTGGCGCCGACCCTCCAAAGTGCGGCGCTCCCTCGGCGCTGTCCCTCCGATGGGGCGCCGTCCCTCCGATGGTGCGGCGTTCCCTCGGTGCCGACCCTCCGACAGTGCGGCGCTCCTTCGGTGCCGACTCTCTGGTGCCTGCTCCTTTGGCACTGACCCTCCGGTGCCCGCTCCCTCGGCGCTGACCCTCCGACAGTGCGGAGACACAGAGACAACTGCCTCAAGTGTCCTTAAACTCATCTGGCATCGGCTTGTCAAGCCCGGAACAGGGCACACTGTTTTTCCTGATGCGAGCCAAAAACTGGGTACGGCTTGGAGGTTTGGGAATAATTTCTGAGGCGAAAAACTCTTTGTGGGTTTGATGGAACGTTCCAGCAATCAACAGGATGTGGTTTTGGGCGACCAACTTTCTTTCTCATGGTTCGCATCCTGCCTTCATCTGCCAAACTACTTGACAATACCTTTGCGTCATTTTGAAAGGTGTTTGCGATGGTTTAACTGAATAATTGCGTGGTTCTGTTTTTAGTTGTAAGGAGACCCTCTGGTGAAGGGGTAAATCCCCATGAGACCCTGGAGTAGAAGATTACGGGGAAAATGGAAACTGTCAGCCAAAATTGTGTGTCAAAATAAAAAGCGGAATAGTTTCTTAACTTCACATAAGAAACTGGAGTGGGCCATTCGAGCCTGTTGTCCCTCAATCAGATCTGATCCTGGTCTTGATTCTTTCTCTGCACTCTTGCCTCCTGCATCAATCGGAAATCTGTCTTAACTCGAGCTGAGAACATATATTCAGTGACCCAGCCCCTGCCACTCTCCGTGGGTGAGAATTCCACGACCCTCTGAGAGAAGCAATTCCTCTTCATCTCCAATGTGAGACCCCTCGTTTTGAAACTACGTCCCAGCCACAGTTCTAAACATTCACCTTGTTAAGATATGCCTGGGGAGCTTTTCTGTTTTAATAAGGTCACTTTTTGCACTTGCAAAACTCCAATGGGTACATTCCTCATTGGAGAGATCCCCCCTTCTTCCCAGGAAACAGTCTCTGAACTGAAGGATCCTTCCTTAAAGAGTCAGAGTTGTACAGCACAGAAGCAGACCCTTCGGTCCAACTCGTCCATGCCCACCAGATATCCTAAATTAATCTAGTGCCATTTGGCCCATATCCGTCTAAACCCTTCCTATTCATGTCCCCAAGCAGATGCCTTTTAAATGTTGTAACTGTACCAGCCTCCACCACTTCCTCTGGCAGCTCATTCCATACATGCACCACCCTCTGTGTGAAAAAGTTGCCCCTCAGGTCCCTTTTAAATCTATTCCCTCTCACCTTAAACCTACACCCTCTAGTTTTGGACTCCCTTACCCTGTGGAAAAAACCTTGACTATTCACCCTATCCATCTCCCTCATGATTTTATAAACCTCTATAAGGTCACCCCTCAGCCTCCAACGTTCCAGGGAAAATGGCTGCAGCTCCTCCCTTTAGCTCAAAACCTCCAACCCTGGCAACGTCCTTGTAAATCTTTTCTGAACCCTTTCAAGTTTAACAACATCGTTCCAACAGCTGGGAGACCAGAACTGAACACAGTATTCCCTAAGTGGCCTAACCAATGTCCTGTACAGCCGCAGCATGACCCTCTCAACTTGTATACTCAATGTTCTGACCAATGAAGGAATGCTTATGAAATGCATTCTTCACCGCCCTGTCTACCTATGACTCCACTTTCAAGGAATTATGCACTTGTATTCCAAGGTCTCTTTGTTCCACAACACTCCCCAGGACCCTACCATTAAGTGTATTAGTCCTGCCCTGCTTTTTCCTACCAAAATGTAGCACCTCACTTTATCTAAATTAAACTCCATCCTCGGCCCATCTAATCAAGCTCCCTAGATGAGGAGGAAACACTTCTTAAGCATCCACTCTTTCAAGGAATGCCTCAGGACCTTCTCTGTTTTAATAAGGCCACTTTATGTTCTTGTACAATTCCAATGGGTAGAGACCCAAACGTTCCTCATTAGAGAGACCCTTTCTAGCCAGGAAACAGTCTCTGGACTGAAGGACCCTTCCTTAAAGAGGGAATGTTTCTTTCCCCCTCTGCACCCAACACTTATAATTTAGTCGAAATGGACAGAAATTCAATAAGGACACAACAACGATGGTCAAGTGCCATCCAATAGGTGAAAGGACATGTTGGGTGACCAATAACAGGAGGGGAGGAATGGGATAGGGAGGTCATGTGATACAGTCTCGAGGAATACATCCAGCTGGATTTGGCCACCCGAGAGCGTAGTGGGTGAGGGGTATGGGCCTTGTGTTAGCACTAGCTGGTTCTGGTGCTATCTTACAATGGAGGGGGCCAAAGATTGTGCCCTACCCTCCCTGTATGTCTGCATCAGGAGAGGGGTGGGGGCCACCTCTCTTTCCGAATCCGCACCACCCCCCCCCACAACGCTCAAACCCCTGATTTATTTGTGATGCGGTTGTAGTCGGAGTAGACGGATTGTGGAGTGATACTGTTAACAGATCGAGTCACCTCCAAAATAATAAAGGTTCTTGTGAAATTTGGGTTCTCAGTGTCTGTGTATCATTTCCTTTCTGTCTCTCCTTTTACACCGTACCCTACATTATAAGAAAGGACATAGAAGCAGTGGAGAAGGTCTCTTTTGAGAAGAGAAAGCTAAGAGGTTGGCGAGGGGTAATCTGAGTGAGGGCTTTAAAATTCTGAAAGGGGTTTGACAGCAAAATGCAGAAATTGCTGCAGAACCATGGCAGGTCTGGCAACATCTGTGGACAGAGAGTAGTTAATGTTTCAAGTACAATGACCCTATTCCAGCAATTTCTGCTTTTGAACCCAGAGGTTCAATTCCAGCCTCTGCGCAACTGTGTGAAGTTTTCACATTCTCCCCTTGTCTCCTCAGTTTCCTCCGGGTGCTCCGGTTTCCTCTAACAGTCCAAAGATGTGCAGGTTAGGGTGGATTGGCTGTGCTAAATTGCCTGTAGTGTACAGGTTAGGGTGGATTGGCCGTGCTAAATTGCCCCGTAGTGTCCAAAGATGTGCAGGTTAGGGTGGATTGGCCGTGCTAAATTGTCCTATAGTGTACAGGTTAGGGTGGCTTGGCTGTGCTAAATTGCCCCATAGTGCCCAGGAATGTGCAGGTTAGGGTGGATTATCCATCCATCCATCCAAATCATCCATCTCCCCTCCTCCCCCACCACCCCACCAGAGACAATGTGCAGATGACACAAAGATAGGTGGAGGAACAGGTACTGTCGAGGAAGTGGAGATGTGCAGAAAAGGACTTGGTCAGGATAGGAGAGTGGGTGTAGAAGTGGCATACAGCGTGGGGAAAATGTGAAGTTATGCCCTTTGGTAGGAAGGATAGAAGCACAGGCTATTTTCTAAATGGGGAAAGGCTTCAGAATTCTGAAGCACAAGGGGACTTGGGAGTCCTAGTTCAGGATTCTCTTAAGGTTAACGTGCAGGTTTAGTTGGCGGTTAAGGCAAATGTAATGTTATCATTCATTTCGAGAGGGCTAGAATACAAGGTGAGAGATGTACTGCGAAGGCTGTAGAAAGGCTCTGGTCAGACAGCATTTGGAATATTGTAAGCAGCTTTGGGCTCCCTATCAAAGGAAGGATATGTTGGCGTTGGAGGAAGTCCAGAGGAGGTTTCCAAGAATAATTCCAGGGATGAAGGGCTTGTCATATGATGAACAGTTGAGGACTTTGGGTCTATAGTCGACGGAGATTAGAAGGATTGGGGAGGTAGGGGGTCTCACTGAAATTTACAGAATACTGAGACACCTGGATAGAATGGATGTACAGAAGATGTTACCACTAGTAGGAGAGACTAGGACCTGAGCATGTAGCCTCAGAATAAAGGGATGACCCTTTAGAACTGAGATGAGGAGGACTTCCTTCAGTAAGAGGGTGGTGAATGTGTGGAACTCAATGCTGCAGAGTGCTGTGGAGGCCAAGTCATTGAATGTCTTTGGGACAGAGATAGATAGGTTCTTGATTAGTAATGGGATTAAAGGACATGGGGAGATAGTAAGCAAATGCGATTGAGAAACATATGAGCAATGATCAAATGGTGAAGCAGATTTGATGGGGCGAATGGCTCCTTTCTCTAATATTGGACTCTCTCCCATAGGGAGCTGGGAGAATGTGGGACTTACTCCCACATAGAGTGG